CAATTAGCACCTCTATATACCCACTGACCCCCAAAATTCTCCAAAACTGCACAACTTGAAAATAGCTGTGCTATAGCAGTGCAATGATCCAGTTTTTAAAAAGAGAATGAGCAGTAAAATAAACGATTCACACTTGTAAATTACTATTAATAATAAATAATATAATAGAAATCAATTCTCTGGGTAGCTGAGATGCAGGTTTAAAAGAAGAGCGCCCTCCAGTGGCAGAAAGGACACTCAGCTGGTCTTTACGGGGTAGGGTATTGTGTGAACATTGTGTTTTATTTGGCAAACAGTCAGGACCCTGCATGTTAAAAAAAAGGGGGGGTGAGGCTTCAGTCATGCAGTCCTGGCTGCCCTCTTCATTTCTTTCATCCCACCCACCCCCCTCCTTTCATGGACACTCCTGCAATCAATAATTGAAACTTAGAGCTTAAACAGAATATGTGAGCCCAGCCAATATTTTGCTGAGAAATGCAAACATCGGGACAAAGAAACACTGGGGTTTCTTCTCCTTTTATTTGTCTCTTCTCCTTCTCCTTCTCCTATTCACCATTCAGTAGATACATTCCGAATTCTTTTTGAATTCTTATAAGTCTTTGGCAGCATCTTATTTCCTAAGGTTTTTGTATTTCAGCAATGTTAAGCACCGAGAAGATACTGAGCATCTGGCCAAATGTCCAACATTCATTCCTAAAATTGGAAATTTCAGCATTTTGCAAAAAAAAAAAAAAAAAAAGGCTTTCAAGTACGATACTGTATTGGGGATGAAAGTAAGACATCCAGAAAAAAGCCAGTTCCATCACAGAAAACAAACAAACACGGAATTTTAAAAAAAACACCTTCTGAAGCCTTCCCTTTCTGCCACTTTCCACCCGTAAGTCCTTCCTTTTTTGGATCTACTTTCTATATCTTCTGAATGGCTCAAGAAAAAACAATGAGAAGAAAAGTACCTGGAAAAGTGGGATCAAGTGATTTCTTCATAGATAGAGATGAAGCTTTTTGCTTCTATTAATTCCCCCACGCACATACACACACACCAAACCACTTTGTAGCTTGTTAGTCTGAAAGCAGACCTATTGCATTCCAAGTTTTCGTGCATGGTTTATGTCACAACAGATGCTACCACCTGGATGATTTGGCTCATCTTGAAAAAACTAACCTCGGTTGAACCTGGCTACTCTTGGAATATGAAACCATCAGAAATTCACCCGTTCTAGAAGTAAATGACACCAAGGCACTGCTCTACTATCCCCAACAAAATTGCCTGGATGTGTCCATATAGCCAGGAAGAATTTTGCTCCTCTCAAGGGAGATTTTCCTTTCTTTTACAGGTCCTACATTTGAGATACTTTAACAATAATATAATAATTGCATTCTTTGGACTCTTGGGTAACTAGACCCAAATTTGAAGGGCTGCCAAATGTGGTATGCATCCTGTTTTTCTAAAACCATTCTCTGCAATCCGTTGCATGCTTACTTGGGAGTAAGTCCAATTTAACCAAGTGGGAGTTGTTTCCAGGGAAACACACAAAAAAAATTGGCTTGCAAGGGATTGCTTTTTAAGGGAATTTTTCGAGCACGGGTACCTGCAGATTTATATGCTGTTGTTCTGTTACATTCTTCTTTACAAACCCAAACAATCAGGGACTCGTGTCCAGATTGCATTGCCACTCTAGGACACAGTGGAGTGATAACAGAAATGCAAAAATGCTTTGAGGGGATAGGAAAAAGTACCTCTCTGTGTCTGTCATATGAATCTAGTTTCTTTTATGTGTTATCGCTACAACCTGAAAATGCAACTTAGAAAACTCTGGTATAAATTTCCAGCTCCCTCTGCAACTTTCCCTGCCAAAGGCTAGTCTAAATTAATCCACAAATAGCATGAAAACTGTCCTGTGTTAGTTCTTAGCAAAGAATTTACAAGCCTCTTAAGAATTCATGGCACTTGAGCACACTCAAAGACCAAAAAAGTCAACTCTGCTCTGGTCAATCAAGGCAGAATAGAAGTCTAAGCAAAGGGAGAGAGGGATTGAGAGCGTGTCCTGGTTGTCTGAAGCCAGTTTTGAAGTCAGCAAAAGAGTATTTACAATAGGTGGCATTACCAAGCTGTTCTTGAAAAAGTTAGCCAGGGTTAGAACTGATCAGTACCTGAATGGGAGACCACCAGGGTTACTGAGCTGAGAGGAAAATGGAAAAGACTTCTATAAAAAAGCAATGGTAAACTAATTCCATATTATTGCCAAGAAAACTACATAGTCATATATAGGCACCAGTAAAATTCAGGAGAAATTTTATCTTCTTGTTGACTATGGTTCCTTCCTTCCAAAAAGTTAAAACTCCCAGACAGCCGCCCTCCCCCCCCCACTCTTGGGACATTTTTTCCTACATAGTATACAGTTTGTAGAAGGAAATAACTCATACATAATTCCTCTGAATATGCTCTCAAACCTGGACAGAACTTGGGGGACATATTTCTGTGGATTTCTGATTTCCTTGTCTCCTCTAATAAATCTTTCTTGAAAAAAATTCTTGGCCAACATTCTTGTATTCCAGCAAGAATGAGACCTTGGTTTCTTTTCTGTATTTTTTTTTTTACTTCTATTACAGCCAAGAACTAAGCCCTATTGAACTGATCTTGAATATTCATAGCTCCTGTGCCTAAATCTGTTGTATACACATAGCTACGTCCACAACACAGCTTGAAAGCCCAATGTGGAAAGGACATTACACACCCAGACATTCTCCCCAAGTAACCCCATTACAATTCGTACAAGATGCCAATGCCAGTTTCTCCGCTATTTTAGTTGCAACAGCAAGATAGACACTGCTTATCCCCCCGAACGTTGAAAGCAATGAACAGAAAGAATTCTTTATCATCAGTACGCTTTGGGGTCACTCATGTCTCCTTTTTTTATCATGCAAAGAGTTGGCAAAATTAAAAAGAAAGGACCTGAATTTTAGATCAAGCTTTCCAAAGCAATGGAAGGTAAGGATGAGTGAAAGTGGGGTTGGATACACAAAAGCATGGATCGGACAACATTAAAAAAATTAGACCAAGTTATGGGTGGGGTAGGGAGGATTATCAACAAGCCTGAGCTCTGATACCTAAGTGGAACCTTCCTGCTTGGTGCAGCGTACTTCTGGGTGCTAAGGACAGACAAGTGGAGATGCAGCCCTTGTGCGCTGTTTGTAGGTTTCCTGAAAGTGTTTAGCTGGCCGCTGCTGAACACAGCAGTCAACCGAATACTAGAGGGATCATTGATGGAACGATCCAACAGACTTTTTAAAAAAGAACTCAAACCAGTCTAAGGAGATTATGGAGATGAGTTGATCTTTGCAAAAAGCAGGTGTCCGCCTCACACTGCAGCCTACTACCGGTAGGTGTACCAACAACTCCCTTTGTGAAGATGCAGAAAAGATGTTGGGTCACTGTGTTGCCCTTGGAATCCTTCAGGGCAGCAATTCAAGAGACCTTGGGTGTGCCTCTCAAGTTGGGTAACATCATTTATAAAAGAGATCCAGGCAGGTATCTGCTGTAGGTGCCATAAAGCATCATTTACTGCCTACCTAAGCAACTTTTTCATTAAGCTGAAAAGAACAAGGCAATCCAAACACTAAGTCTTCCTACTGCGGTCTTTAGCTAACTTTCTGGAGAATTGCTTCTCATCACACCTACAGTAGTTCAAAACCCATCCAGCAGATCTTCCCTATACAGTAGAGGTGTGTGTGTGTGTGTGTGTGTGTGTGTGTTAAAAATACTACTTTTAAAAAGACTTTCAGATTACTATTCTGCCTGGAGTGCTGACAATTCCAAAGGAAGCAGGTTGGGCACAGAGGAGAGAGAAGGAAAAATGCCCCTTAGGGGCCCTTGTAGAGAAAAATCTCAAGGTTTACTTCATCATCAGTATCACCAGCTACATCCTAAATCTATGGAACTAATTTGCTCCAAGACAGCAGATTGGTTACAGGTGACAAGGAGTCAGACTATTCAGCAGGAGAAGAGTGAGGTTCCTAAGCAAGGGGAATGCCATTAAGAGTGCGGATGGTTCGTCAAACAGCCCCATGGAAGGATGCAAAATCCAAGAGGTGGAGCTGGGTTGGCACAAGATGGCTCTCTGGATCCTGGGCAGCCAACATTTGTCTTGGTCCCTGAAATGGGATAATCTTTCTGTGTTCCTACATGGAGAGTGGTGAAGAATTTTGGCTGTCACTTAACACTGAGGAGGGACCCATATATCTTTCATGAGCCCCTGCAGGGGAGGCTTCCTAACCAGTGAATGAGACCTTGTAATTCCACTCTACAGTAAAAAGAGGCAAGAAAATGCTGGGGTTCACATCGAACCCTCCTGTCTGCAGGTTCTGTATCTGCTTCAGGAACCTGCCACACCTTCAGAGATGCTCTGATTCTCTTCCAGGACCTGCTTGCAGGACCCCGAGTTGAGCGCAGCATTTGGAAACACTTCTAGGGATCCAGGTGAGCTCTGGTCGTCCTAGAGCACTCCGGATTTGTGCCTTCACCACATCCTACCTTCCCCCACCTCTGCCCGTCCTTCCAAATCATCCTGATTCACACAGCAGAGGTCTTGGCTCTTTATTTTTATTATTATGATCATTCTTATTATTTTTGAAAATGCAGTATCAGCGCCTCTCTTGGAAGCCCTGGGTTTTGGAGACCCCCGAGACAGACAGACAGGAAAAGGGGGCTCAGCAGATACACCCACCCTGCTCTCTGCTGTCAAATGGTAACCTGCAGCAGCGGGGTCCTCGCCCCCTTCCCTTCTACAAAAGGACTGGAGAGGCTTTGCCTAGAGTGGGGTGGGGAAGGAGGAGAGGCCGGGGCTTCCCGGAGTCCCCAAAGCTGGAGTTGGATGGAGGCGACGAGAAGGCTCCGCAGCCAGGGGGCAGACGGCCGAGCCCGGCTTTCAGGAGGAAAGCACCTCAGCGGCGGCTGGCCAGAAGCTGAAGCCGGCGCAGCCCGCCCGAGGTGCTTCTCTTACCTCCTTGCCACGAAGCCGGGAGGCTGGAAAGCAGGAGAAGGAGGACTCCAGGGAGGAGGAACGAAGTCCGCAGCCTGGCCATCTCTCGATGCAATGCCCTAGTCCGCTGGCAGCCCGAGCGTTTTATCCCAGCGGTGCTGCTTAATTGTGGCTTCCAAAGATGTAAGGGGAAAGGCGGGGGGGGGGGGGGGGGGGGGGGGGGGGGGGGGGGGGGAAGGGCTCAGGACACGACGTCATTGGGAAAGGGCAAAGCCACGAGTCTCTCCAACTGCTCGGGCTGGCTTCCCTTTGCAATTTTTCTCTCGCGCTGCTCCGCTCCAGATCGGTGCGTCCTTTGCCAACAGCGAGCGCCGCTGCCAAAGGAGACTTTAGCGAAGAGGAAAGAGCGGGACTCAACTTCCTCCAGCTTGGTAGAGCAACGCACCCGCTCGGGTCCGTCGCCCCACCCCGAGGCCAGAGAAGAGACCCCCGAGGCCCGGAGGTCAGGTGGCGGCCGGGAGGCAAGTGGCTGGGCGGGAGGGCTCCTTCGGCTCGGAACCAGGTCGCCTCTGCCACTCCGCAGGCATGGGGTGGGGTAGGGGGGAGAGCAGGAACAGCCGAGCGGGGCTGGGGGATCCCCACTAAGAGAGAGAGAAAGAAAGAAGAGAGAGAGAGAGAAAGAAAGAAAGAAAGAAGAAAGAAAAAGAGAAAGAAGAAAGAGAAAGAGAGAGAGAAAGAGAGAAAGAAAGAAAGAAAGAAAAAGAGAAAGAAAGAGAGAAAGAGAGAGAGAAAGAGAGAAAGAGAGAAAGAAAGAAAAGAGAAAGAAAGAAAGAAAGAAAGAAAAGAAAGAAAGAAAGAAAGAAAGAAAGGAAGAAAGGAAGAAAGGAAGAAAGGAAGGGAGGGAGGCGCCAGGAAATGAAGCGGGAGAGTCCAGATAACTTATCTGAAAAAAAGAGTTTGTTCTCTGGAGCCAACTGGCCAGATTGGGTTGTGTTCAGACACAAGGACACCTGGATCAGTGCTCAGACAGACAAGAGGCAGGATTCCAGATGGGTCAAGGGTCCTGCAGCCTCTGTCAGAAGGGAGAGAACCCACATGCCCTTTGCAAACCAGCCAAAGGACCGGATCAAGGGTGAGGCCCTGGGATCCAGTTTGGAGACCTCTGGCCTGTCCCACTCAACACATTGGTCTTGTCTGGGGAATCCACCCACGGGCCTCCCTTGCCCAGATATAATAGCATTCATCCACCCTCCTGACCAAGTTGCTGGAAAAGAACTTAAAAGAAAAATGACAATACTGTATGCCTGTTTTTTTTAAAAAAATAAATGTGACCATTGATTGAGCACAACTCTGATTAAAATAGATGCCTGCCTTGCGCAGCTTATGATTTAATGATGGGAAAGAATTGTTTGGGTTCTCAGATGTGTAAATTCAAGCTTTGGGGGATTCAGTTGAAAACGAAGGCGTTGGCTTCTCAAAAAAAGAAGTCGGCGAAAGCGCCAAAGAGTCCTGAACTTCTAAAGTAAAACAATACAAACTTCAGTTTGAAAAATATATATATAAATATAATGAAACCCTTGAAGCTCTCCATAGTTGTATACCCGTTTACAACCTCGTTCTTTGCCTGCGAGTCGTGTTTTCAACGGTTTGAATCACCTTGGAGAGCAGAATACGACAGCTTTAACATTCTGAGCAATCACTGAAGTTCCCTGAAAATAAAAAGTAATTAGAAGCTGTCATAACTGTTTCTAAGGAGATGATAGGACTAGGGAAGATCCTTATATATGAGACTCACTAGGTGACTGGAATATATTTTGCATATGCTCAGAAGAACACATTAAAAAAGGAGTGTCCTCTACAAGTTCTAAAAGGTAGGTAAGACATATTAGTTACCCTTGTGGGGGTGAAATGTGTTTGCATGTATTCTTAGCATAAATCGACACCTTTTATGGTCTGCCTTGTTAAGGAAAACTTGTGTCAAACAAAGGTTTGGCAGAGAAGTCCACAATCTGGGTGCCATTACCAACAAGATCCTGCTTGTTCTCATATCACCCAATGTTTTCTGGATAGTGGAGGCAATTAGGACAATAGCCAAAAATATCTACCTCGTTCTGGACAAAACAGATACTGTACTGTACATTGGGAGGAAGATATGGTGCATTTGAGGATTTTAGGAGCTCTCCTTTCCAAGGATACGGACTTCCTTCCCTACCACCTAAGAAGCCCTTTATTTTATTGGCTTCTGATGCCAGAAAGCGATGCCTTTTCCAGCACTGGCAGCAAATTCACTGGCCCGCTGCCATTGTTTTCAGAAAGAATGTCAACTTTTGGAAGGCACTAAGCAAATCTGTTTGATTAGATCAAAAAATATTCAGTCTGGTGCCGTAAACAAGAAAAATTGAGTTCTGCTAGCCAAAGAAGGGCATTTAGAGTGTACTTCCCCAGCCCAGATGATGAAGGGAGGGAGAACTTCCAAATTAATGGAGAGCACAATATTATGATGTCTCTCAGAGGAGAGCAGTGCCGGCACATCAGAATTCTGTGTGAATTGACAGGAATGGAGAGATATAATTTAGTAGGACTTAATTTATATCACAGTGTTGAGAAGATGACATTTTAAATGCTTTTTAAAAGGGAATTTGCTGATGTGGCTTCCTTGCCTGGGAAGCCAAGTTGGCTCATATTGACTATAATCCAATGATTAAGCATATGTTTTGCATGCAAGAGATCACAGGTTCCCAAGGTCATAGTGTCTCTCTATATGAAGGATTCTATTTGGAACCTAAAGTCACAAGATCCAGTGTTGATAGCTTGCTTAGAAAATGGAGACTGAGCCAATTTATGGAGGAGGAGGAGATTATGTATGGACATACATAATGAAATTCCATGATTATGGGCAGCATTGTTTCTGGGCATCCAGCTGAGAAGAAGCTGGGTATCCAGCTATAGAAGGTACTATTGAGGGTTTCCCTGGAGGCATCAGATTGATGGCTATCAGAAATATAGCCTTCTCATAGGTTATGAGAAATATAGTCTCTAGAAATATACCCCTGGTCCAATAGGGATCTTCTGAGATTCCGATAATAGACCTCAAGGGGCAGTACAAAACCTTGTAGGTCAGCATCTATGGAGATTCTCAGTCATCCAGGTCATGGTTGTCCCAAAAGTGCTTTTTCAAGAGGCAACTGGACTGTCTGGAAATCCAGAGCTGAAGAAGCTTCTTGGATGAGAAGCGAAACGTCTTCAAAGAAAAACCAGAAAGTCCAGTTGCCTCTTGAAAAAGCACCTTTGGGTAGATCAGTGTTTTCCATATATTTTGGGGCACCAAATGGGCACATTTGGAATTTTGAAGGTGTTATAAGCACTCTCACAAAAATTTTGCCATGGTGACCGTGACTGATTCTTGGGTCCTCATGGAACCCATGGAATCTTTCATAGGGTTCCACTATAGGGTTCCATGCTGGCAGCTTCCATTGATATTATTCCTTGCAGGTAAGACAGTCCAGGCATCATGCCTGGGTTCTCCAGACTCCAAAGCCAGCTCTTCCACCCCTCCCTGTTTATTCAAGTGAAGGTCATTTCAAAGGGAATTTTCAGGATGTCACCGGAAAACCAGAACAGTGTTTTAAGGATGTTGACAAACCCTTCCAACATTTCCTGCCCAAATCATAGTGTCTACCACAATACTGTTTTGGCAAGGCCTTGTTCAACACAGATAGTACCTACCAAGGATGTCCTCAATTTACAGTAAAAAGAAAATCAAGATGGTAACCACATGTATTACGTGCAGCACCCACTCAAATGGCAGAACTTTTATCGAAGTATTATGGCTGCCATCTTGATTTTTTTTTAATCGTACCCTTGGTATCTGCCTGCTCCTTCTTTCTTCTGGCTCTTGGCCTGGCTGTTTCCAAGCTGCCTGGTACAAAGCAATCTGACTTGGTCCCCCCATTTCTCTAACCTGGGCTGTGTTTAGAAAAGCTAAATGGGTTTATTTCCTAGGAAAAAGGAATGATGTCAAAAGCTATACAGAAGGAAACAGTAATTCTGTATGTTATTAGAATGGGGGTGGGGGGAATCTTTTCTGTTCATACTGGGTTATAGGGGGAAAAGGACACATTGAAGAAGCTTCTAATCCTAAGGGCGTGTTATTATTTGCTTGTTTGTTTGTTTTGGCAGCCAACAGAATTGACATTAGCCAAGAAGTCTCACAATAGCTGGATTAGGGAGAAGCTGAATGAATGCCAGAGCACATAACTCTGGTTAATTTTTTTTTTTTTTACTGGCTGGACTGATGATTGAGAAATTGCCTCTGAGCATGTACAGGGACTGTGTTTTCCACTTCTGCTCAACCTAAGCCAATTTTAGCCATACTGCAAGATGTCAAAAGCACAATGTGGTTCCAGTGCATCAAAGCCTCTTGCATTAAATTTCTTCAAAGCTTTCAGCTTTTCTGTGGGAGCGCAACACAAGACAGCTCCTTGGGGTTTTTTCAGGGGTGAAATCCAGCAGGTTCCAACAGGTTCTGGAGAACTGGTAGCAGAAATTTTGAGTAGTTTGGAGAACCAGCAAATACCACCTCTGGTTGGCCCCAGAGTGGGGTGGGAATGGAGATTTGGCAATATCCTTCCCCCAGGAGTGGGGAGGGAATGGGGATTTTGCAGTATCCTTCCCCTGCCACACCCACCAAGCCACGCCCACAGAACTGGTAGTAAAATAATTTGGATTTCACCACTGGGTTTTTACCTCATTCTGTCTCCTCGATCTGACCTGTGATCCAGCAGGGTTCCCTAATTGAGTCTCCCCAATGTCAGTATTATAGAAGGAAAGATGTTTTAGTCTATGGTGGGAAAAAAACAACAACCAGGAGTCTGGTAGCAACTTTTCCAACCAACACATTTTTATAAAAGGCAAATGCTTTTGTGAACGTGGTACAGAAACAGAAGGAAAGAATAAACGATCTCTTCAGAAGAAACAGTACAATGCTAGGATTAAAATATTAGGCTAGGACAGGTAGATCCAAATTCAAGTCTACCCATAGAAATTCATTGGATCACTTATTCTCTCTTAGCCCAATAGGAGCATCTGTAGGAAGAATCAGAACACTTAGGATTATAACTATGATTGTGCAATTGAAGCCCAACCTTTTTTTTATATGGTCCTACCCTTTAGATTTCTCAGTCCAGCCTACCCTTCAAAACTGTTGTGAGGATAAAATGGAGAGAGAGAGAGATCCATGGAATGGAAGTTATTCTGGGAATAAAAGGCAGAATATATACTTGGTAAATAAATTTATAAATGAACCCAATGTCCTGCCTCACCCTGATTTCGCACAACATGTTGAATTAAGCAATCTCCATTTTAGCCTAGACTAGTGTAATGCATGAACTCGGCTCACCTCTCTTTCAACTCAAAAGCCCCTTTGTCTAAAACAGTATTTTTAAAAACTTCACAACTTTAAGACGTGTGGACTTCAATTCCCAGAATTCCCTAGCCAGCGTG